GGAGACACTGGAACATATCCAGGGATATAAAACAAGTTGCAAAAATTTTATGGTCTAAATGTATTGAAATCATACAGAGTCTGTTCTCTTTATCACTGTGGATTTATGTTAGAAATCAAGATAGATGAAAATAACCCACCTATTTTCAAGTGCAGTGTGACATTTACCAAGAGAGATCTTTGACTTATCCGTTGAAAGCCTCAATAAGGTTAGAAGACCAAAAGAACACAGGGGGCAAGTGCAAGGAAGAAAGCATTTAAATGAGAAATTAATATCAAAGATACTTTAAAAACTCCATGTATTTGGAAATTAAATGTCCACTTTTAAATGATGTTGCCATCATTCTCAACGAATACTTAATACTATTCATTGTGACAACTATGTCATTGTTCCCTGTAAAAAGTACCCTGATTTTCACATTGTTGTATCCTTAGAATAGATTTGAGAATGATTACCAAATGAAAGATTTTGATGATCAAGTTCAAAGAATCTAGGATGAAAAGGCAGGACTGAAGCAATCAATGTTTATGTGGACCCATAACCAGTTCAACAGAAACCTTCTTGAACACCCTGAAGCAGGTGTGAGAAAAAGAGTGAAACAATGTCAAGATGTATCATATACCCACCTGTACATGCTCCATGGTACACAGAAACAGTTATGTTGGGTCACGGCCCAACTCAGGTGGTTTGGGGACTTTGCAGTCTCATCAATTCTAAACTTTTATTGCCCAATTGAAAGACTACATCATCTACCCTAGTGGATCTCTCTATGCATTAAAATCACCTGGGGAGTTTTAACAATCCCAGTGCTGAGGCCACATGCTACACGGATTTGGTTAGAAACTCTGGAGGTAGAATCTGGGCATCAGGATATATATAATATATGCATATATATTGTGTGTGTATATATATATATATATGTATTTTTAACTATTTATTTTTGGCTGCCCTGGGTCTTCACAGTTGCCCTTGGGCTTCCCCTAGTAGTGGAGAGCACAGGCTACTCTCTAGTTGCAGCGCATCAGCTTCTCGTGGTGGTGGCTTCTCTGGCAGACACAGGCTCTGGGTGCACGGGCTCAGTGGTTGCGGTATATGGGCTTAGTTGCTCCACGTGCAGCATGTGGTATCTTTCTGGACCAGGAATCCAACCCGTGCTCCCTGCATTGGGAGGCGGATTCTCAACCATGAGACCACCAGAGACATCTCTAGGCATCAGTCTATTTTAAAGCTGTTGGGTGATTTCGAATTGCAGCCACATTTGAGAACCACTGGCTCAACTGTCCCCCAAACACCTCATGCTTGTCCTCACCTCAAAGTCTTTGCTCCTGCTTTCCTCTCTACTCATGGGCTGGATGGATAATTTCTTTTCCCCCCTTCTTTCTTATTTTTTAAATTACGGAAGTATTATAACACATTTACAGGAGAATTGGAAAATACAGAACAAGGTTACATATAGTTCCACTACATATTACAATTATCTTTTTAGTAGATAAATTAAGATTTTTAGTTGGAATTTCAATATCAAGCTCTCAAAAATGGATAGAATGAATAGACAGAAAAGTAGAAGGCTACAGTAGACCTGAAAAGCACTATCAACCAATTCAATGTAATTAAGATTCATACAATTTTCACACAACAGCAGGATACAAATTCTATTCAAGTTCCCACGGACTATAAACCAGGAGACACCGGAACATATCCAGGGACATAAAACTAGGTACAAAAATTTCATGGTCTAAAGGTATTGAAATCATGCAGAGTCTGTTCTCTTATCACTGTGGCTTTATGTTAGAAGTCAAATTCTTTTTATTAGTTTGGCTAATCCACACACATGCTCTTGTCCCAGAGAGGACTAAGCCAAACTAGGGTCCTTGAGATCCCTCTAGCAGCGGCCAAAGTCGTCCCTTTCTATGACAGGCCATGGAGGAGCTGGTGGACGAGGAGCTGGTGATAAACACTGAGATCTCCAACTTCAACCACTTTCAGATCGAGAGACTCTTGAACAAACCTGGACTGAAATACAAACCAGTGATCAACCAGGTAAATTGTTTAGTAAAGGGTAAGGGTTCTGCTCTATTATTTCTTAGATGTCTGGAGGCAAGTTCAATGCTTTGCACTAAGTCTCATCTTGAAGGTCAGGCATCACGTACTTTGTGGGTCATGGGGGACGGGTCTTGGAGTCTGGTTTAGCCAGCCTAGCAGGGGGCAGGATTTGGCCTTTGCTGATAGGCCTTTTTCTGTGTGTAGAACTCCCAATGAGCAGCTCAAAGAGCAGGTGGACTTTCCCAGTGATGAGAATTGCTTGCTTTTACAGATTGAATGTCACCCATACCTCACGCAGGAGAAATTGATCCAGTACTGTCAGTCCAAGGGCATCAGTGTCACAGCTTACAGCCCGGTGGGCTGTCTAAATAGATCTGGGTGAGGCATCTGATCTTTCTCTCGACATCCTTTTAAGAAAGCCATCAGAAACAAAAATGCATGTAAGGCAATGTGCCTGGCATACTCAAACAGTGGGGAAAATATGGGAACTTAAAAAAAAAACAAAAACCAGCAACCCTTTAGGAATACTCAAGTTTAGCCACCCAGCACTGGACCAGCCTTTGCAAAAACTCCTGAGGCTTCAGAACCCATGGGTGGACCCCTGGGTGAGACATGAAGCTTTCAAATCCTTTTGCCTTACCTACCACATGAAGAAGACTGACAATCAGCCTTGGGCCCACACCGGAGTAATATTTATCTACATATGGTAGCCATGGTGATTATGCACACCAACCATCTTTCTCCCTCTAGGGCCAAACCAGAGGACCCTTCTCTACTGGAGGATCCCAAAATTAATGAGATTGCTGCAAAGCACAAAAAATCCACAGCCCAGGTATAAACTGTATAGTTTCTTTACCTGCCGCAAACTAGTCTTGTGTAATTCTTAATATTGTCTTCATTTAGCTCCTGTATTTCTTTTATCTTATTTTTTGGCTACGCTGGGTCTTCATTGCTGCGAGAGGGCTTTCCCTCATTGGGGTGAATGGGGGCTTCTCATTGCGGTGGCTTCTCTTGTTGCAGGCTTCAATATTGTGGTGCCTGGGTTTAGTTGCTCTGAGGCATATGGGATCTTCCCAGACCAGGGACCGAACCAGTATTCCTGGCATGGCAAGGAGGACTCTTAACCACTGGACCATTGGGGAAGCACCCGTTTAACTCCTTGAAGGGAAAGGGAACAAGAGAGGAAGCCCTCTAAGGCCTTTCCTTGAAAGTCTGTTTGTTTGGACCTCCAGGAAATAGCATGGTTATCACTGGAACAGGGATGGCCTCTAACAACTTCTGTTGAGACCGGAGGACCAAGAACAAGAGCATGGCTTTGCAGCCAAAAGACTTGGGTTCAGAACCCAGCTCCACTACATATCAGCCTCATGATCTCAAACACTATCCCAGGTCACTTAATTTTTTAAAAAGGAAGAATATAGGGTTGTTGTGAGGATTAAGAGAGAAAACTAAGCAAAGGACTGAGAAGTTATCTGATAGCTATAAAGTGCTCAGTGTATACTAGCTATTGTAACTTAATAAAGACACAGTGAATGGCAGAGATGTTTCATTTTCTGAAAAAGTAGAGGGAATGGTCGTTGCAGTTGAGTGTAAATGAGAAGTCCCCTTCTGCACAGGTTCTTATCCGGTTCCATATCCAGAGGCATGTGATTGTAATTCCCAAGTCTGTGATGCTCGCATGCATCGCAGAGAACTTTCAGGTAAGGTTCTGGCTGGTTCAGTTCAGTTCAGTGGCTCAGTTGTGTCCAACTCTTTGCAACCCCATGGACTGCAGCACACTAGGCTTCCCTGTCCTTCACCAGCTCCCGGGGCTTGCTCAGACTCCTATCCATTGAGTCAGTGGATGCCATCCAACCATCTCGTCCTCTGTCATCCCCTTCTCCTGCCTTCAATCTTTCCCAGCATCAGGGTCTTTTCAAATGAGTCAGTTCTTTGCATCAGGTGGCCAAAGTATTGGAGNGAGGGGATGGCAGAGACTCCTTCACCAGGTTTCTCATGCTGTCCTTGTGTTTTCTGTGGGCTTCCACCACCTTCCCACCACCTTGCCATCTCTCAGGCCAGGGAGCTGACCTCAGGGCTGAGATGAATGACCCATGACCGAGGGTGGGCTGGGGGAGCAGCTGGTGATATCCTGTCAGGTCTCAGCACAGCTGTACCTTTCACCACTGCCTGAGAAGGTCTTGGCTGTCCCTAAGCAGTTGTGTCGTGGGCCACACACAACAGCAGACAGTCCTGCCTACACTTCTGCCTCCCGGCAGCAGGAGAGATATAGATCGTACTAGAAGACCTGCCCTTCTGGAGGAACCCATGTGTCCATCAGGGGGCTTGCACACTGCAGTTCAGCACCTGTAAGGCAAGGAGGCTTAAAGGCTTTGGAACACAAAACCTCAGAGACACGGCAGTCTCTGTGTGGCACCCAATTTAGAGCCCTTCGTGTCTGGAGGACATAATGGGAGAAACTCCCTTGGCTAGTTACTGCAGTGGATGCGAGCTTGCTCCCTACTAGCGTGGCTGGAGATCTCAAATTGCACCAGGAACTGGTTTGCTGATGATGTTCTGGAATTCTCACTTTTCCAGGTCTTTGACTTTAAATTGAGCAATGAGGAGATGGCGACCCTACTCAGCCTCAACAGAAACTGGCGGTACTGCACCTTTAACTCATAAGTGGCGCTGGGCTGAGTTAATTAGGAGGATTGCCAGGTGTTTGTCTAAATTGGTAGAAGTTTAGCTAGAAGGATTGAAAGATAACTGGAACTACTTTTATTTCATATGCCGTTTTCTGGTAGTGTTGAAAATCAAAACTGGAATACCTAGAATCATTATGAGGAAAGAGCGGGTGTGTGTGCTCAGTCACTCTGTTGCGTCTGACCCTTTGTGACCCCATGGGCTGCAGCCCACCAGGTTCCTCTGCCCATGGGGATTCTCCAGGCAAGAATACTGGAGTGGGTTGCCATGCCCTCCTCCTGGGGATCTCTCCAACTCAAGGACTGAACCTGGGTCTCCTGCATTGCAGGCAGATTCTTTACCATCTGAGGCACCAGCGTAGACATATCCTTAATTGCTGCATATTGTTGGGACTCCTGGATGTAGTTCTGGAATCTTAAGAGAGAACATGTTGTTAATAGGTAGAAGGCAGAGGCAGTCATTCATCCTTTCATCCACTAAGTATTTATTGAGCATCTACTATGTGCCAGGCACTCTCTAGGTGCTTGGTGGTATCATCTAGACAAAGTTCCTGCCTTCACAGTCTTACATGCTAGTAAGGGAGTACAGAAATAAACTCACAAATAAATATGTTGATTGAGAGTGAATCCTACAACTGAGAAAGTGAATTGTAGGAAGGCATTGTCTACCTTCTCTACTCCATTCCATTCTCTATTCTATTCTAACTTCTCTATTTTCTATCGAGAGAATACAGAAATAACCTCTCTCTCTCTACACACACACACACACATATCAGACTGCAATAAAGGCTATGCAGAAAAATCAAGTAAGGTAGTAAGGGAATAGGGAGTGGAGGATGCTGGGGGAGTGATCCCTTAAATAGGAGGAGTCAGAGGAAGCTTTGCTGATTGGTGACAGTTGAGCAGAAACCTGGAGGAAGTGAGGGATGAGCCATGTGGATACCTGGGGAAGAGCATTCTAGGCAGTGAGGGTGGCAAGTGCAAAGGCCCTGAGGTGGAACTGTGTTTAGCGCACTGGAGTAAGAGGCCGAGTGGGGCTGGAGCAGAGCAAGTGAGCGGCAGAGGGAGAAAAGGCGAGGTCAACAGTGTCAGGGGCTCAGAGCAAGCAGACATGTAGACACTGTGAGGAGGGCTTTTGGTTCGGGCTCTGAGGGCGCTGAGAAGCCAGTAGAGGATTCTGAGCTGAGGAG